AGAACTCGGGCAAGCTCTTCGGCCTTTGAAAGTCATTATTTGGTCTCGAATCGATATGATAGGGTCACTACCTTGGACGGACCTTGCGGCCCCTCAAGCTTCAAGACATGTTCGCGTGCTTGCTTGGGGAGATCAGCGACTGTGCGTGTCCGGGCCCTACCAAACAAGAACGACATAGCTCGAGGTAATGGACCACGGTTATGTTAAGAATGCAGAGATCTCTGTAACAAGGCAAGAATTTGGACACTGTCGAGATGTGGTTCGTCTGTGATTACTTGGTGGTCGGCAGCATTCGACGTCAGACTTGTTATCGATAGCGGTATGGGTCTCAAGGACCTGGAAACATAAAATGCTTAAGTACTAATTAGGCGAGTAACGCCGAATGGTGCTGAAGAATTCTCAAGTCAGGAGCAACAAAAAGCAAGCGAAGGACGAGATGAATAGTGTTGGCGGAGTCTGGGTTAAACAATGTCGAAGTAGGTTAACGGTTGACGACAATCAGATACATGGGCTGTCAATATCAGCTATACTACCTTACCAAGGTTGCTTGGGGTTGTTGTTTGGATTCCATCTGCAGGTAGCAACCACGCACGCGCCACATCAAGCCCCGATCATTTTTAGTGTTAGAGCTTTAAAGTGACATAATCGCTAATCTCAACACAAGTCCCGTCTTACTATTAGATAGCTTGTCGTAGAATTGAATATATGGAACAAAACACACAAGCGTGATTAGTAGCCCGATTCCGGCAACCTGACTCACATCTGACTTCGGTGGCATCTTAAGCCGAGTTACTCCCGTCGCATAGGGCCTCGAGATATTTCTAGGACCTGCACCCATCCATTTGCGACAATCTACTAATAATATTAAGTCAATAGGAGGTAGTCAGGTAGTTAATTACCTACCGAGTGAGTTATAGCCTCAAGCCCGCTCAACCTATATTATCTTCCATCTTGGTGATATCAAGTTAGAAGAGTCTTTACTTCCATAGTAGGTAGTAGGTACTATAGAGAGCCTCAACAAGCAAGCACTACTATTGAAGGTAGCCCCCGAAAGTCGGCCGACATGGAAGGACCCCTCCATCCCGGGCAGGCGCTGTAGACTAACGCGGGGCACACATTCCACCCCACTTTCTGCCCATCCTCTTGACTCACCCACCATCCCAAGGCATCTTTTTCTTAAACCTGCCCCTCCATCGACGATTTGCATTGTCGCTTGGCGTACATTCTCAAGGTCTTCTGTGCGCTGACCAGACTGCCAGGCGAGACTTCTCAATCGGTGAGTAGGTCCAAGATCCCTTTAATATTAACGACGAACCCGTTCTTCCGCTCTGAGCTCCCCTACCTTGCCGTTTTAGTTTGTCCTGGACTGACTAAACCCTCGCTCACTTGTAGTCAAACCATCAGTCACTATGTCCATCGATTTTCCCAAGGAAGAGGAGTCTGTCCTCCAAAGATGGCGCGAGATCGATGCTTTTCTCCGACAGGTTCGTACTGCCCTGTGCAGACTCTATCGAATGATTCCTCTGACTCAAGTCATCACTATAGGTAGAACTATCTGAAGGTCGGCCTCGCTACACTTTCTACGACGGACCTCCTTTTGCGACCGGCCTCCCTCATTACGGACATCTTCTTACTTCCACCATCAAGGATGTCATCCCCCGATACTGGTCCATGAAGGGCTTCCATGTCGAGCGTCGCTTTGGTTGGGATACCCACGGCCTCCCTATCGAGCACGAAATTGACAAGAAGCTTGGAATCTCCGGAAAGGCTGCTGTCATGGAACTTGGTATTGCCAAGTACAACGAGGAGTGTCGTTCTATTGTTATGCGCTACGCCAAAGAATGGCGTCAAACCGTCGAACGGTTGGGTCGCTGGATTGACTTCGACAATGATTACAAGGTGAAGAAGCCCACAACTATTTGTATGATATCAGGTCACTAAAACGCATCACTACAGACTATGGACCCTAACTTCATGGAGTCCGAATGGTGGGTTTTCAAACAATTGTTCGACAAGGACCAAGTTTACCAGGGCCACCGAGTTATGCCCTACTCTACTGTCCTCACCACTGCTTTGAGTAACTTCGAGGCCAACCAGAACTACCAAGACGTGACTGATCCCGCCGTCGTCGTTACATTCCCTCTTGTTGATGACCCTGAAGTGAACTTGCTTGCCTGGACAACTACTCCCTGGACGCTGCCATCGCATCTCGGACTTGCAGCGCACCCCGATTTCGAGTACGTTAAGATCCTAGATGAGAAGACCGGAAAGACATATATCCTACTTGAAAAGCTTCTTGGAACTTTATACAAGGACCCCAAGAAGGCCAAATTTAAGATTGTGGAGAAGATTCTCGGCAAGGACATGCTGGGATGGAAGTACACGCCTCCGTTCAACTACTTCTACGACGAGTTCAAGGACATTGCCTTCAAGGTCCTGAATGCCACCTACGTTACTGACGACAGTGGTGTGGGAATTGTTCACCAAGCTCCAGCATTCGGTGAGGACGATTACAATGTTGCCGTCGCCGCAGGCATTGTTACTGAGAACCGACCACCTCCTGATCCTGTTAACGACACCGGCCACTTCACTGACCGAGTTTCCGACTTCAAGGGTATGCATGTTAAGGAAGCTGATAAGCACATCATCAAACACTTGAAGAACGCGGGCCGCATCGCCAACGAGTCTCAACTCAAGCATTCTTACCCCATGTGTCCTCGCTCAGACACACCTCTGATCTACAGGGCCGTTCCTTCCTGGTTCATCCGTATTCCCGACATAATTCCCGACATGCTCAAGAACATTGAAGAGACACGTTGGGTCCCATCGTTTGTCAAGGAGAAGCGGTTCGCCAGCTGGATCGCCAATGCTCGTGACTGGAACGTCAGCCGAAACCGATACTGGGGCACACCCATCCCTCTGTGGGTTAGCGATGATCTTGAAGAGAGAGTCTGTGTAGGAAGCGTCCAAGAGCTCCGTGAGCTCAGTGGTTACGAGGGCGATCTCTCCGACCTTCACCGCGACAAGGTTGATCACATCACGATCCCTAGTAAAATGGGCAAAGGCCAACTGAAGCGTATCGAAGAGGTATTCGACTGCTGGTTCGAGTCTGGAAGCATGCCATATGCTAGTCAACACTACCCCTTTGAGAATGTCGAAAAGTTCGAACAGTCATTCCCTGGAAACTTCATTGCGGAAGGTTTGGACCAGACCCGTGGATGGTTCTACACCCTGACAGTTCTGGGTACTCACCTGTTCGGCAAATCGCCATTCAAGAACTGCGTTGTCAACGGAATTGTGCTTGCAGAGGATGGCAAGAAGATGTCGAAGCGACTCAAGAACTACCCTGATCCTGCTATCGTCATGTCCAAATATGGATCTGATGCTCTTCGACTCTACCTTATCAACTCGCCTGTTGTACGAGCCGAGCCACTGCGATTTAAGGAGTCTGGTGTTAAAGAGGTTGTCCAGAAGGTTCTCCTCCCTCTCTGGAACAGCTACAAATTCTTCGAGGGCCAGGTTGCTTTGCTCAAGAAGGTCGAGAATGTCGACTTTGTCTGGGATCCCAAGTTGGAGGCTACAAACAGCAACGTCATGGACAGATGGATTTTGGCATCTTGTCAGTCGCTGTTGGCGTTTGTTAACCAAGAAATGGAGGGTAAGTCGCGAACCCCATATTCTTATGAGCCCCTACAAGCTCTATTCCCGTAAACTTTTTACTGTTTCTGGACGTAGCTAACTTTATGCAGCCTACAGATTGTACACGGTAAATACATAAGCCCCTGTGTATTAGAATCCGACAGACTCATGCTGACTCTTTTTTAGGTTGTTCCTCGACTTTTAGGTCTTATTGACAACACCACAAACTGGTACATCCGATTTAACCGAAAGCGACTCAAAGGAGAGAATGGCCTTGATGACACTCTACACGCCTTGAATGCTCTATTCGAAGTGCTCTTCACTCTTTGTCGTGGCTTGGCTCCCTTTACGCCTTTCCTCACAGACACCATCTACCTCAAGCTCCTGCCTCACATCCCTAAGGAACTCCAGGGCGACGACCCTCGTAGTGTTCATTTCCTACCATTCCCCGATGTGCGTCAAGAGTTGTTTGATAAGGAGGTGGAGAGACGTGTCGGTCGTATGCAGCGTGTCATCGAGCTTGCTCGCGTGTCGCGTGAACGCCGCACCATTGGTCTCAAGCAACCGCTGAAGACTCTCGTGGTGCTTCACTCCGACCCCCAGTACCTGGAAGATGTAAAGTCGTTACAGAATTACATCAGCGAGGAGCTGAATGTACGAGATCTTGTGCTTTCTAGCGACGAATCCAAGTACAACGTGCAGTACAGTGTCACCGCAGACTGGCCTGTGCTTGGAAAGAAGCTCAAGAAGGACATGGCCCGTGTCAAGAAGGGCTTGCCTCTTCTTACCAGTGATCAGGTCAAGGGATATCTCCAGGACAAGCACATCGATGTTGACGGCATTCGTCTGGAAGAGGGTGACCTCGTTGTGCGCCGAGGCGTCAAGGAGGACGAGTCCTCAAAGAACTTCGAGACTAACACGGATAGTGAGGTGCTCACTATCCTTGATACAGAGATCCACCCGGAGCTGGTAGCAGAGGGTCTTGGCCGTGAGATCATCAATCGTGTGCAGCGACTTCGAAAGAAAGCAGGACTCGTGCCTACGGACGACATCAAGATGGAATACAGAGTTATTGCTGACCCCGAGGATGTGGGCTTGTCAGGTGCTTTCAAGTCGCAAAGTCCTGTTTTTGAGAAGGCCTTGCGCCGACCTCTCGAGGAGGCAAGTGCTGAATCCCAAACTGAGGGTCTCATTGCAGAGGAGGAGCAAGAGGTCCAACAAGCGACATTCATTCTTAGATTACTCAAGCTGTAAATGTTGAGAGCCTCTTTAGAATCTTGCAGATTAGAGAATGAGTAAAAAAGAGAAAGAACCAAGTATGACATTGTTCAATATTTATGACAGCTACTCGTAGAAGCAAGCTATGGTTTCTTTGATGCTGCCTGGAGAAGGTCAGGAAGTATACGCTATTTCAAGATCGAGACATCTTACCAAATAACAATCTTTGAGCCTCATAAACTCCCTGACACACTTATCTTTGTGTACAGCGTTGTAGTCGGCAACAATGCATCTACCATAAGACGTGGCCTGTTGGCAAGTTAGTGGCAAGATCTGGAAGATAAGTGAAGAGCCACATACCTCTGCAGAGCATTGTGAGACTGCTTTGGCAAACTTTTGGATGGGACGAGTTTTTTGCTGGTTCATGGTGACTTGCTAACGGGGTCAAGATGCGTGATGGCAGTACTGATAGGTTGTGTTGGAGCCTGGGAAAATTAAGTGGTGACGACTGATATCTGCCATGTCAATCAGTCGCTGTCACACGGCCGAGTAGTAACTAATGGATGTCTGTTTTTTGTCATCAGAGCCCCACAAGGTCTGTGTTGGTAGTAGGTTGGCTAGTTGGGCACCAGCCACACCCACTTTACACGTCAAAACTCCGGGCAAGGATCTCCGACTGTATCGCGACCGCGTATGTTTTTCTTTATTGAATCTCACATTGCGCTTGTTTGGATACCGCCCCCCTCATCGGAAATCGAAGGCGCACTTACTTCGACTGCACTACAAGTAAATCTTTTGTTTAATTCTCCACCTGGCTTCTTCTGATCGCGTGGCTATTTCGACGCGCTTTCAAGAGACTCGTTTATACTACTTTCAACAGTCTGCGGTAGCTTAATTGCCCTCAACCATCGAAGCAAAAAACTGCGCCTTATTGACTATGGGCCAATGACGGACGTGGGCAACTCGCCAAAGTTCCTCTGCTCATGCCCTCAAACCTCTCACGCCCGGTCTCAAATGCGACTTCACCAGCAGCGTCGATGTCACCGGCTGCGCATAGAGCGGTCTCGCCATCAGACGATGGCCGATCAAGTAATGCCAGTCGGGCACTGTCAAGCCAGGACCCATACTACTCCAACGAAGGTCCGTATCACCCTCGCAGCGCAGCTTCAGCATGGCATTAACCATATTAGACATAGCTACATTGCACACGGTAGTTGTCGCTGCCCAGGAGTTTCTCGACTCTGCGCCCGAACCCAAACCTCTACCGGCGGCTGCGTTATTCAAGGCGTACGATGTTATACTCCCCACGTATGGAATCGATCCAGATTCAGATCATCACTTGTCAACTTTTGTCTTCCGCGTAGGCGGCGAGCAAGGTGAAGGCAGCTTGCTTGATAAGTTTCAATCCATCCTGAACCGAATGGGCATTGTGTTGGAGTTTGGTGATAATACGACAGTTTCGGTTCGAACTTCAGCCTCCCTATCCCCGGCAGCATCCTCGACAAGTCGTCAAAGTAATGCATCCATACAACAGAAAGAGGCCCAACAAGGCGGCCAGCAGAATGGCCATACTACCGCCGAAGTGGAAGCACCCCAGCCACCCCCTTCATCCACTCCGCTTCCATCGCCTTCACCATCGCCGCCGCCAAGGTCACCGTATCACCAGCAAGATGAGCAGGATTTCTCTGAAACTGACGAGGAGGATGACGCATATGAGGAAATGCGAAAGGCAGTTGTATCCTCAGCTATGAACCGTTGGCGTTCGTTGGTTGCGAACCGTCGAGCACAACCCGCGCAACGGATACCTTCATTTCCAAGCATTCCCGAGGAAGCTTCTACCGATGTCAGGAACTTTGAGGCCTACTCTTACGATGGAAAACCTGCAGCGACTGTAAACGGAACCACAACGTCGGTGCAGGTGAATGGCATTGGGCCGCATAGTCAAACTTCCGTGAAGGAACCGACCGATATACAAGCAAAGCCAGTGTCGACTCAATCGTTCATGCACCAGCCTCTTGCAGTTCTTAGCAATGTTATCCGATCAACGGCAACCCTAATTCGAGACAATGCACCACAAGTTGTGCACGACGAAGAACACTCACTACATGACAATGAAGTGCCGCAAAGTCCCAGGGAGGGGCCCGCTGACAGGCTAGAAGCTATGGAAGAGGCGCCATCCAATTGTATACACAATGCACAAGAAGTGCATTCCCCTACGGTAGTGGTACAACACAGCACAGTAAATAATTATGAGGGCACAGCTGCCCATCGTTCCGCACCCCAAGAATACCCGGAAGACACGCCGCCGCAGCAAGTAGCGGCCGAGGACGATCTTTTAACACCCGAGCAGCAGATCGAGTCAGAAAAAGAACACAGTCGGCTGCTCAAACGTGCCAGCAGAGCTCGTGAAATATACCTTGCGAGCAAGGTCTTCAACCACTGGGCCGATCGTACTGCGCGCCGTCTGGAGAGAGATGCTGTCGCAAGACGACATATGATACGCTTTCGTTACTTTCGGTCTTGGAGCCAAGCCCCTGCGCTTCGGGAACCCACTATTGATCATATGAGGATAGCTGTCATTGTGAAAAAGTGGCAACGGGGTGTCGCAAAAGAGAGGAGCCTCCAAGAGACTGCACGAATGGCCGCTCGGGCTTACGAGCTCGGAAGAATTCAGCATGTTCTCGATTGCTGGCATTGTCATCGCCTCAAACATTTAGGCCGCCAAATGACAGCTTCGCGTAGTAGATCAGGGGCGATCTCAAAGTGGTTGTCGAAGGCTTCTCATGATGAGGCTCTTCAGCAGGCCATACGGATCCAATCAAGTCTGCGACTTCGAGTGGATGCCATTCACCAATGGCAAAGCCATAAACAAAGGGAAACCCGGCTGTCAGTTACTTCCCGGCGTATCGGGGAGATTCAATATTCTTTCACCTACCTACGAGAATGGTGGGACCAGGCTGAGACCAGACGAAAGGCAATTGATTACCGCCAGCAACTTGTGGTTAAGAAGGCCAACTTCACTTTTGACCAGTGGAACCTCAGAGCCAGAGCTCAAGCTTTTCAATGGAGGCGCGAGTATCTTCAGGTTGAGCGGGCGTTCGATCGATGGCTCCAGTGCGCGGAACAGGATGGAGACATGGCAAGGAGAACAGAAGAATACTATGAGGAACAGGCCAAGGCCAAGGTTCTAAGGAACTTTAAAAGACTTCAGTATGATTCTTCCCAAATGGTACGCTTGGAAGCCCGAGCCCGTCTATATCTCAGAGCAACTACAGTGTTGCGAGTCTTCGATCGAACGATAAGGAATCGTAGAGACCAAGACAAACAGCATATTAAGAGATATCTGATGGCACGATACACGCAAGTGTCGTCTGCTAGGAAGAAGCGCAATTGCTTCAATGCTATTGATAAATGGAAATCTTTGGCTGCGGAGGGCCAAGTTGAAAGTGACATGGCACAGGAACTGCTAGCCCGGAAGGTATCTCATCAACTGACGTTGACAGTCGATACGTGGATAAACCAGGCGGATATGGACCAGTGGCACATGCAGGCTTCACAACTTCATCGCGCGCACGAATGGTTAGAAGCCTGGAAGGTGTACGCCAGAGATCTGGAGCAGCAAGACACTGAAGCCTGGCAACTTTGGGCAGCTGACAAACAACGTCAATCCCTGAAATCTTGGTCGATTGCATCGTTGCAGCAGAGTGGACAGGCCCACACAGCGTTGGAAGTCCAAAAGAAGCACGAACGTGAGAGACGCAACCGAATCTTGCAATATTGGAAGCAGCGAGACGACAGAATTCGTACTACTGTGCCTGAGACTCGCCCATATCCAAACTCGTTACCTACTGCGTGGCCGCGTGGTGGCTTGAGGATGACTTCTGCAAGGCGCTCCATGGCCAATCGCAATGACCGAGGTTATGATTACATCAGTACACCACTTGAGACACCAACTCGATGGACTGGCCAGCCGTTCTCAATGTCGACGATGATGCCGTCAGGATCAATGGCGCCGCTCAGAGAGATCGATGAAAACGACGGAGCATTTTCGCTTGCGGGTGATGAAGACGACATAGAACTGCCAGCATCACCATCCTTGAGGCCTGCCTCTAGAGGTCCTTCTCAATTTGCATCTTTACCATCGACAACTCCTATGGCACCAGTACCTTCGCATTTGGAGCGTGGCGCGCGAGGACGAGGCAGCGCACCCGATCACGGCTTTGCCGTCGGGGGAACGCCACGGCGTTCGCGAATGCCAAAATTCGAATCATCTCAATCAGTGTCAGGACTGTCCAAGACTGACGAAATTTCCGAGTCTGCAGGCTCTAGCAGATTCCATCTCTCGCAACAACCACTCGCTGCTAAGAGATCTTTCGGATTTAAGCCTTTGAATGGGCATACCACTAGGCCTCAACCCTCCTCGCCAGAGCCAAATCTTCCAGCCGTGGGCAGCAAGTCCGTCGGTGCAAAGTCATCCGATATGCAGTCCGCGCCCCCGTCACAACCCGCAAAATTTACACCAGCAAGAAGGTCGGTGCGCATTCAATCGCCGCGAACATTGTCTGCTACACCACAAACTCGTCCACTGGGAATACCACGGAGCGACCAATTCCGTGGTCGTCCAGGTACAAGCCGATAGTGCAAAACAGTTATTCGTATATATACATGCATGGAGGGCAGGGTAGGTGTGCGTGGAGAAGGTTATTGCAGTTGGGCAGGGCGGTTTTTGGCCAAGGATAATCTGGATGTGTTCATTTTACGTTGGATGACTTGTTTGATAAAAAAAAAGGATACCCCTTTCTGTTAGTTTCAAGCGAATGCATAACGGCGCTATGCCGATGGTGTTGGACAAGCAATCGTTTTGTTGGATCATTAGTTCTTGAGCTTGAAATTTGAAGTATCAGTTAGCAAAATCCATGTCATTGATAAGTTAAGGTTTGAAGAAGTATGCGCTGTACTCGTAATTGACATAAACCAACGGCTACCCTGCCGTCATTACGACCTCTTTAATCTACAAGCAAAGTAAAAACAAGACAACTGTTAACTACAGTATATGTTAACCTCACCAACAAGCTTTCCCAAACACTACAAGAATTAAAGAATCATGCCTCATGGGTTCCATCCTTTAGGGCGGCACCCACTTGCCGTCATGAGTTCCTAGGTTAGTACCTAGGCATGGGGTTGGGGTGGGTTCTGTCTCTTAAGGGGAGGGGGTCACGTCACCTCGGGCTATCTAATCGTTGCTAGTAATCCGTACGATTATTGTGTGGATTCGGCGGTCGTTAGGTACATCACTAAGCTTCCCTGCATCGAAGCTACTAACCAAGCATCTCTTCCAACATTCATCCTCTGCGCTTGAACATAGCGCCGTCGTACTCGCCGAGAAATGCGCGCAAACTGTGCTCCTTGATAGCATGAAGGCCGTCTTGCCGGGAAACCCGCGCTCGAGGCTCCAAGGGCTAGCCTCGGGTTACTGGGACTCCCGACACATCAACGTCAGTACAGATCCAATTCAACCGATATTTGCGAGCTTTGAACTTGACTAACGAGGGCGCATCTTGTAGGTATATATTACAGGCAGCGCCTTTACAATACTGGAAGGATGCCATGGAATTCTGCAAACAGTCTATGACGAGGGAGAACAAACCCTAGAAGCTATCGCATTTGATGAGGCAACAGGCAAGATTGCTACTTGTACGCTGACCCAAGTTCGCGTGTACAAACCACTTGGATCGCGCGAGGACACATTAAAGGTTTGCTCTCGCAGACCGGATCGCAAGAACCTGGACATGAGCTTACATATATACTAGTGGGCGCTTCAAGCGACTGTCGACGTTCCCTTCCCAAACCCCGACGAAACGCCCTGTACTTTATCCTGGGGTAGCTCCGAGGAGCTTCTGGTAGCCACCCGATGCCTGTCCCTATTTGATACCAAGACCGAACCGAGATGTCTCTGGCAGAAAGAGCTGCCGAGCATTGCTAAATATGCCATAATATCATACGACTCGAGATACATTGCTTCGACGGGTTATCACGACCACTTAGTTAAGGTCTGGCGCAGACTCAACTTTGGCGCCGACGAAGTTCGCTTCGATCTCACATATCTTCGACACCCGAACATTATAACATCAGTGAGGTGGCGCAGGCCATTTCATGTAGAGCAAGCCTCGGATAACGTCTTGTACACTGTATGCCTTGATAAATGCATCCGCGTGTGGACGCCGACCGATACACTTGATGGGAAGCATTGGCAGCTATGGGGCCAAGTCGATGTTTCTGCGCCGTCACAAGAAAACCCTGAAGGTGTCGACATGCGTTTTGCTCTGGTACTCGATGGAAGAGATTTCACAGCCTCCGTTGAACAAGCCGTGGAGGCACGAATGTCTGACGACTTGAACACTGACGACCCCGTCGCTCTCGACCACCTGGTCGCGATTGCAACCAAAAACCCAGAGATCTGCATAGCTTTCGATGGGAGAGGAATCATGTCGGCCTGGGCCCTGGAGAACGTTAGTAGCACTACTGCAAGCTCACCAACTCTGTTCAAGGTGGCCCAGGTTACGGACGTTCATTTTGAACTTCTTGGTAAATTTCTATCAGCTCACGATACCCCCCATACCGAAATCCAGACGTATTGCGACAAAGAAAGTGGTAAGGTTCACTTCATGATACACGCATTTGATGGGAGGATAGGCGTCTTTATTGGAAGTGTTGCCGATCTATTTGATCCCACCACGAACGATCGGCGCCTCTCACTACAAACGATCTGGTCTGGTCATTCGACTTCTATCACCAAGATCGTGCGAAACTACAGCGGCCGAGCAGTAGTCTCTCGCACACAGGATGGTGAGAGTATTGTCTGGAAACATCTACTGGCTCCCCATGATAACTCAGGCCTTGCTCTTACGAGGGCGAGCGTCATACCAGAAAAGGGTCATATACATCGAATATGCGTATTGAGAAAAGGGCGGTTTGTGGTATTCCTTCGCCACGAAACCATTTCACTTTGGGATTGTAGGACTCGTCGAGCGGCCCTCCTCGCCCAATGCAATTACAAGGTTGTGGGAAAACCACTTTGCCTTATCATATTACCTCGGTCAGATGTCAAGAATTATACCGTCGCCCATATCGCAACTATAACTTCGGAAGGGCAAGGTGTTGTGTGGGAGATTCAATTGCCTCGTTACTTCGATGATCCAAAAACAGTAGTGGGCGCTGATCTTGGAGAGTTGAGCCGTTTCGAACTAAAGGACATAAAAAACCTGGCATACGTTCTACCAGTAGATCCTGCTGGCTCTCAACCTGTCGTCTCAGGATTTCTAGATATCTTTGCTCGCGACGTCGCCATTTCTTATACCCATACAGGCCGCGTGGACTTTTGGACTGCACGAGTTGATCCTGAACAGCGTAGTGTCGGATGGTTGTCCACATGCACTACAGAGACGGGAATTTCCCAGCCAGCATTGGTTAGTGGAAGTACCTTGAAGAAGGCTGCTTTGGTGAACATGTCGCGATCGCAGCTTACGATTTGGGACATCGGTGGTGCTCGCCTTGAGTACGAAAATAGCTTCCAAGAACACCAGGTTATACAAGACTTGGACTGGACATCAACACCTGATGGTCAGTCGATCCTTGCTGTCGGTTTCCCTTATCGGGTCATACTTCTTTCCCAAATGCGATTCGATTATCTCAACAAAGGCCCAGCTTGGGCTCAGATTCGTGAGATCACCATTCGAGAACTCACACCACACCCAATTGGCGACTCGACGTGGCTGGGCGATGGCCACTTAGTCATTGGCGCAGGTAACCAAATGTTTGTACAGGATAGGCATGTTGGGGTCTCTGAGTCAATGAAGGCGGACCTGCGGCTTCCCTTACGCAAAGACGGCAACCTGGACTTGTTCCAGGTCGTTCAACGTTTCAACGGACCTTTACCAGTATTTCACCCCCAGTTTCTCATTCAATGCATTTTGTCAGGGAAGGCCACACTTGTGCGGCGCATTCTAGTGGTCTTGTACAAGACATTAAAGTACCATATTGAGGGCGAGACTCTGGATGATTACCTGGGGATGGATATAACGGAGTTTTATGTGCCTGGGGTAAGTGGCCCCTCCATTTCATTATTAATCGTGCAACGTTTTAACACAGAAGCTTAGCAAAGCCACACCTTGGCTAGTGATAGGTCTAACGGTGTTTATCTCAATGAAAACCAGACTGACGATATTGATGATGATGAAGTTTTCACCGAACAGACTGCTGTATCGATTAATGAAAAACTAGTCAAGACTAACATTCCACAACTTTCTGGACACGAGCAAATTCAACTAGCAGACATTGTCGAATGTGTATCCCTTGTTGAACGTCACCGCCGTTCAATGGACGAAAATGGTGCTCGATTCATGCTGCTTTTCCGTCAGCATGCTCTCCGCAAAGGACGTACTAATGAAATGCATCTTTCATGGCGAGAAATCAACTGGGCCTTTCATTCCAACAGCCAAGATATTCTAGTTGACTTCGTGTCGCGACAGAACCACAGCAATATGCTGTGGGAGCATGCTCGCGAAAGCGGCCTTTTCATGTGGCTGACCGACCCAACTGCACTGGTAATTGAGGAACGATTCGACGTAAACTTGTTACAGTAGCTAACGCCTAATAGAAAGTCCAGTTTGAGCTAATTGCCCGGAACGAATATACAAAGAACGAAGTCAAGAATCCAGTTGATTGCAGTTTATATTACCTTGCCCTTCGCAAGAAGACCATTCTTCAAGGCTTATGGAGAATGGCGAACTGGAACAAGGAACAAGCAGCGACTCAACGATTGTTGGCAAACAACTTTGAAGATCCCAAATGGAGATCAGCAGCCTTGAAGAATGCCTATGCTTTGCTTAGTAGGAGGCGTTTTGGTAAGATCTTTGTTGAGAATACTGAACGATGCCGAAGCTGATTGCGTGTATACAGAATATGCTGCTGCGTTTTTCCTTCTTGCTGACCACCTCCATGACGCCGTTCAGGTTTGCTTGAATCAGCTCAAGGACATGCAACTTGCCATAACTATATCTCGGGTATACGAAGGTGACGGCGGACCGGTTCTGCGCCGACTGCTTCAAGATACAGTCTTACCGCTAGCAGCCCAAGAAGGCAATCGCTGGCTAGCTGCGTGGGCGTTTTGGATGCTTGGCCGGAAGGATGTTGCAGTACGAGCACTCATTGTACGTTGGAAGATTTCAGAGACTCCCGATGTAGGGAAACAAAAACTGACCTGGCTCGCAGACTCCGGTTTACACCCTCCTGGAAACACCTTGCTCCCCCGACATCAAGTCTCGACTGTACCTTACTGATGACCCTGCTCTGGTTGTACTCTACTCCCATTTGCGTCACCAAACGTTACAGACTTTAAGAGGAGCATCTAAGATTACCCCGAAAGTCGAGTGGGAGTTTGTGCTGCACAGCGCAAAGCTCTACGACCGAATGGGTTGTGATCTTCTTGGGCTGGATATAGGTACGCCAAAGGCTGAGAGATTGCCCATTGAACATTCATGCGCTAACTGCAAGATAGTACGGAATTGGGAGTTCCAAAAGTCTCCAGGGGCCAGTGGCCTTGGTGGAGAGGTTAATCCCCTCAAACTGCTTCGAAGGAGAAGCTCGCTAGTAGTTGCCGACTTACCGTCACCCACTCTTCGCTTTGAGTCACATCGAGACAATAAGAAGACAGTCAAGGCGCCCCCAACGACTTTCGAAGAGCCAGATGCAGGGTCACTTCTGGATAGCTTTGGGTTTTGATTTAGGTGGGTAACATACAACTCGAGATGATGGGACAGTGAGCTTGAGTTGACAAGGCCTGCTCACTCAGCTTGTTTAACTCGCTGCCATGGAGCAATCGAGTTAAGGCTTCAGATGTGTGATGTTAATTAAAAATAAGGTGTTAAACTACGCATATGGTATACTTAACCAATGATAATTTATCAATTCCATTGTCTTTAAAAGTGAAGGATACTTAAGTTTTAGCTAGTAGTCTGTTGTCGTCCTAGCGTACCTAGTCGCAGTGTGGGGAAGCCCAGCCCCCAGGAATGGGTAGGGTAGCCCATGAGATGGAGCCAAGCCGATCAACTACTAACATTAGTAAGTAAATAACACTTCACCGAACGTCACACGCTCTCTTCGCGTGTCTCAACATTGCCATCACTGAACATATCAAAGATGGCGACACGCGTGATTCCTGGGCAAAGTTTCACCATACGAGGTGTTTTGGCCGGTCTCGCGGTCGGAACAATTATCTGCTTCTCCAACATGTATTTTGGCTTGCAGACAGGATGGGTCTCTATCATGTCGATGCCAGCCAGTCTCATGGGCTTTGGTATCTTCAAGCTTCTTGCTCCGCACTTGAGATTTCCATTTTCTCCGGTCGAGAATGTCCTGCTGCAGAGTGTAGCTTGTGGTATGGCCATCATGCCACTCGGATGCGGGTTTGTTGGCGTTGTAGGTTGTAAAGGCTCTTGTAAAGAGGCAGGCTCTAATCGGATGTACAGATCCCGGCGTTGAACTATCTTTTGGCTGCTGATGAGCAAGGCCCAATTGATCTGAGCACCTGGCAACTCATAGTTTGGTCTTTGGGACTTTGCTACTTTGGTGTCGTCTTTGCTGTCCCTTTGTAAGCCAGCTCCCATACCTGCTCTAAGTGAACGATAATATTGACCGTGCCAACCAGGCGCAAGCAAGTCATCATCCGAGAACGCCTCAAATTCCCTAGCGGATTCAGTACCGCCGTTTTGATCTCTGTCTTGCACGGCGGAGGCCGGCAGTCTACAAAGGATGAACTCGACGCTGCCGCGAAAGGTAGCTTTGCTAGCCTCGTTCCAAGGGAGGAACCATCTCAACCAGCTGCCGTTGGGCCAGCTACTTCAGATCAGGAGCATCAGCAGGATCCTGATGACGACTTGTCGTCCAAAGGGGACTGGGCAGCTAACATCAAACTCTTGCTATTGTGCTTTGGTGGCTCTGGACTTTACACGCTTGCTACCTACTTCTTCCCTATACTGCGTAATCTGCCCGTCTTTGGCTCAACCGCGGCCAATATATGGCTATGGACATTCAACCCCAGTTTCGCCTACATTGGCCAGGGAATCATCATGGGCACCGAGACCACGCTACATATGCTGCTTGGTGCTCTCGTGGGTTGGGGAATTCTTAGCCCTCTTGCTAAGCACCGTGGATGGGCACCTGGCGATGTCGATGATTGGGAACATGGCAGCAAGGGATGGATCATATGGATCTCGCTGGCTATAATGTTGGCGGATGCTATCGTAAGTCTTGCTTACGTAGGACTCCGTGGAGTTTTTACAAACCACAAGGTCGCCAACATTGTTTTTTCTTTACGACAACGAGTGCATGAACATGGCGTCTCTGGTCTGTGGAAACCCTCAAGCCATGTCTATACGCCGCTTCTCCATGCAGACACAGCCGATAGTATTGGCCCGCGCGGTGACAATCTCGAAGTCGATGAAGACGAGGACGAGGATGCTCCCCCGCACCAACGCATTGGTGGCCGTATGGTAACAATTAGCCTTCTTGCTTCGATTGCGCTTTGTGTACTTACCATTCATCTGGTCTTTGGCGATCTTGTACCGCTCTATGCCACGACCATTGCGGTTCTTATGGCTCTAGTGCTAAGTATCATGGGAGTTAGGGCCCTGGGTGAAACGGATCTGAATCCTGTATCCGGAATTAGCAAACTTGCACAGCTATTCTTTGCACTTATCATCCCACAAACTCACAAATCAAGCGTTTTGATTAACTTGATCGCTGGAGCCGTGGTAAGTATGGCAGGGTGTTGCTAGAGAGCCATTTACTAATATGTGACAGTCTGAAGCTGGTGCTTTACAAGCTGGCGATCTTATGCAAGATCTCAAGACTGGCCACCTCCTGGGAGCGGCACCAAAGGCTCAGTTCTGGGGCCAAGTCATTGGTGCAACAGCAGGTGCTATTCTGAGTGCTTTTATCTACCGCATCTATACAAAGTAAATACCATCCTCCGAATCGTTTACATTAGCTTGGCAAGACCCTAACACGACCGGCCTGTAGCGTCTATACAATCCCTGGCGACCTCTTCCAGGTACCGACTGCCTACGTCTGGATCTTCACTGCACGACTTGTCACGGGCTCTGGGCTACCATATCGAGCCAAGGAATGGGCTATTGGAGCTGCAGTTCTATTTGCCTTCGCTACTGTCATCAGGACACTTGCTATTGGTAAAGGATGGCGACCTATGATTCCCGGTGGCATTGCCGTTGCTGTTGGTGAGTCAACAATATCTGATGCGTGACTAGGCCAGGCCATCACTGACATCAAACAAGGCATGTACAACGTCCCATCGTTCACGCTGGCTCGGGCTGCAGGTGGTCTGTTCGCATGGTACTGGATCCATATTGCGCAAAGGAAGCAAACGCCTCTTATCATCCTTGCCTCAGTGCGTATACGGTCCCATAAAACGAAATCTCACTAACGCCGTCAGGGCTTCATTCTCGGCGAGGGCTTCCTGAGCATTGTGAACCTTCTATTGCAGGGTTTGAATGTACCTCATCTGTAATTTTGGCATGGATATAATCGACATTCAAGGTAAAAAACCCTGCCCCAAAGACTCATCTGTACGTGGCCGTATTGACAAGGAGACATCTATTTTAGTTGCCATGAGTGCTGTCTAGAGTCACCCTCAGAATCGGTCCAAGATGCCCGTAGGACCAGCGCTCGGGCATTGTCGTCAGCAGCTGTAAACACGATTTCGCCCGAGAGGCTCTTTGGGCATTTCTTGGACGGGTTGGCCTCAGGGGGAGCAATCAAAAGGCCTTGCTTCCAATGGGTGACAGTACCAGAAGGTCCGGTTGTGAACGCGACGCCACCCTGGTCTCTCTTGTCCCAGGTATCTGGTGTTGTCTCAGCGGGGGGAACCGGGTCGCTTCGGGCTGTGGTGAAGAAGTTGTCAAACCAAATGAGGAAACCATCGACGTTCTCAACCTCGCGGGTAAGGTTGGAAGTCCATTTGGCGGTGAATTGAAGATCTTCGGTCTTGATGGTATGGAGGTCAAGTACTTTAAAGGGGTAAGGTTCACCACAAAGAGAGCTTTGCGGCATAGCCTCAACCCTTGCTTCTTCGTAGATCCCTTCCTGCATAGTCTTCATGTCGAATCCGTAGACGTCTCTCCAAAATGTGATGTTGTCTGTGATGTATTCTTGGTCTGCAACAGGAGCGATCCAGATGGTTGCAGAGCTTGGCGCGAGGATACCGTCTGGCTTGAGATATCGGTCCCGGGCATACAAGACACTAGGGAGCATGGCCTCGTAGAGTAGGCAGTAACCCATCCACTCGCTGATGATGATATCAACCTGATCCACAGGCAGCTTGACGTCCTCGATGGCACCCTTTAGGGTCGTGATGACGTCGGATAAACCGTTATGAAAGATGTTTTCTCTAGCCTTGACAATAATGTCTGACTTGTCAACAGCAATTACTTGCTTGGCACCCGCCTTCGCAGCGAACATGCTGAGAATTCCTGGATCCATGTTATCAATATTGAGATTCCCGATTTTGACAAAGTCAACTTACCAGTGCCACATCCGATATCGAGCACAACCTTATTCTTGAATATGTGCTTATTGTTGTAAATAAAGTCACGGTACGCGTCAGTTCGTACTGTGTCTTTCAACATAGTCTCGTGGATTTCTGATCATAGTTAGTATAATATCACATGTAGCGAGGGCGGCAAGGAAATACCATGGGCAGCATATGACTCAAAGTAGTAAGCAGAGTCGTCCTTCTTCTCAGTAGGAGTTGTCTCGGTATCATCTCCCCATCGCTTGTCAAGTGTCTCCTGGACCGTCAAGCGATAATTGGCAAATTGATCCTTGAGTTTCTCGAGCTCCTCCTCAAGTTCTTTGTTGCGCGCTGCAAGATTCCCATCCTTGTCTTGATCAGTAGTAATGGTTTCCAGGACTTCGTCAAGAGAGAAGATGAGAGCATCATTTTCCAGAACCGGGCGAAGGTATTTTTCGTCCTCTAGGTCCTTGGCAGAGATGTCCTTGGGAAGTGACAATCCGTTCTTGACATGATCACGAACAAAGTTAACCAGCTTGACGGCACCGTGAAAATCTAGTTGGAGCTTTTGCACATCCTCGACAAAGTTGTACCCGTGGTTCTTGACGCTATCCTCAAGCATGGCGGCGACCGTGGGGAAAGTCTGCGAAGTGAAGAATGATGTGATAGGAGTTGACTCCTCATCCGACTCCAAATCGAGCCACTCACCCTCATCGGAAGCAGATTCGTGTACGGACATTTTCACTGCAACGATAAATGACAGCAGAAATATTGAGAAAGGAATAATTTTCGAATCAGCAGTGGAGTGGCCAATTTGTTGGAGCTGGGCGGCGGCGGTAGTTAGAGGAAAGTATTTGTGGGATCACCGTTATTGGACGAGACTATGCCCTGTTGGGGAATTTTTTTTTGGGTCAAGATAGCAGCCAGATGCAATCCGCGAGGCGTTGCTTTTAATATGTCTGTAAGTGGTATATCGCATCCCATCCGTCGAGGCTCGCGAAGCCACTCATCACTTTTTTGATTTGGATTTCGGTTGCTCCTTCGTTTTGTCTTTCTCATCATCGTTATTGTCAGACTCTTCAGAGCCATCAGCATCAGACGCAGCTTCATCGCTGTCGTCCTCATCCCCATCGTCGTCTTCGCCATCTGATACGGTTTCACCAAGTTCAATCAAGCGGTCCTGCGGAAATGTCAGTATGTTGCTTGCGTAATCATCGTGAATTATTCCGCCGCCGGCTGCCAGCTTACCTTGTACTTTGTCATCTTCTCTTCCAAGTCGCCAAACACCATTAGAAGATCATCAAGTTCTGACTGCGTCGTTTCTCGAGCTTCCCTCGACTCCGATAACTGCTTCTCAACCTCGGCTTTCGCTTTCGCTGCTTCGTTCTTTGCTGCCTTTTTGAATTCAGACAAATGCTTCTCAGCCGTGTCTCTAGCTTCGTTTGCTGCCGACAACTCTGATTCCATCTGCAAGCAAAGTGAGTTAATTTGGTGCATGTGGTCACACTGGGTCGTTGAACGCTCACCTTTTCGAGCCTGGCTTGCATGTCTTTCATTCCAGCATCTCCACCACTCAATCGTTTCTCAAGATGCTGGCACTTCTCCTCTGCCTTGAGGGTCATTGATTTCTGTTGTTCAAGGTCACCCTTGTTCCGTTGCTGGAGAGCTTCTATCTCGGTATCTTTTTGCTTGCCGAGCTCGTCCATGTTCTTTTTGTGTCCCTGTTCCTTTTCATCGGCTCTGGCTTTGACGTCTTCTATCTCTTTATCTTTATTTTTCCGGAGATCGCTCAACGCCGCCTCGTGCATTTCCTTCTGTTCATCCAGGTCTTTCTTGCGCAATGTTTGAAGCGCATTGAGCTCCTTTTGAGACTGGATTCGCCATATCGTCAGCGAGGGGCTGTCCCAAATTCAATTAGTTGCGAGGACAAGAGTACACACCTTCATTAGATCAGCCTCAAGACGACTGATTGTGGCTTGAAGGCCTGCTATGTCGGCATCTGTCCGCCGTCTGATCTTTTCCGCTTCAGCTTCAGCCGTTTTTCGAACCTGTTCGAGCTGCTTCTGGTAACTGCTGTCC